TTGGCCACGTGTGACCTTTATCCCTAGAGTTTGAAGGTCAGCTTGTCACCCACACTAGCCTTCTGAGACACCCCAAGACAAAACTAAATGCTTCTTGCCCTGGACTTCCACAACGCATGCCTTTGTTGTGTTTATTCATCCACTCATTCATGGATCCATTCATCAAACACATATTACAGAACTACTATGTGCCAGTCAAACTTTGGCATCAAACAGCAATTCTAAACATGGGGAACAGTGCCCCGGGAGGACAGGCCTGGGGTCTGTGGGGACACACAGCAAGAAATGTCACCCACAGCTCTTTCTCAGGGTGATCAGTGTCCTGGACTAGCTATCTACTTACCAGCCTCCCTGATTTGGGCATTTTAATCTCATCTGGATCTGTAGCACTTCAGCACTATGCCTGACACAAGGAAAACATACATTTGGGTCTTTGCATCAATAAAAGAATTCATTTTTATTGAGCATCTACTATGTGCCAGGCATTGTTCATTGCTCATTTGTTAATGAGCAAAGCAGACCAAATTCCCCTCATGAGGCTTACATTCTAATAGGACCAGAATATAATTGAATGAGTTATATACATTCCTAATTAAGTAGCCAGCATGCTGAGAAGACAGATGGGAGCAAGGAACAAAGAGGCAGCAGAATGTGACCAAACTGGGCAGATGAGCAGAGCCCAAATCTTGGCTTCCGGCGGTCCCCACCACCGCGCTCCACCCTGCTCCTCCTCCCGCTCCCCGATCTCAGTATAGACAAGAGTAGGCATCGGCTTCTCCCAAATACCTCTACTCACCTCCACCTCTTTCCATCTCACTGCCCCTACCTTGGCCCGGGCCACCTCTCTCCCTGGCTTAGGGACCAGCTGCAGCTGCCTGCCTGTGACCCTACCTCCAGGTTTGGGTCTCTTCCGTATCCCACCAGCCTCCTCTGGGCTGTTTCTCATGCTCCAACCTCCCCTCCACGGCTAGGCACTAACCTAAAACATTTCCTATCACTGTCTTAGGGTCAGTCACACTAAATGATGTTTTTTCCCCTTAAACCAGCCAATCATCTTTCCTCACGCTTCTGACCTTTACTCAAGCAATTTCCGATCTGCAATGTCCGTCTTCTTCCCAGCTCTCTCCCGCCTACCTACCCACACTCATATGGCTGGCCGCCTCCTCTTCACTCCCACACCTCTGTTTAAATGTCCTGTCCTCAGGAAAGATGCCTCTCACTCCCAAGATTGGTTTGGTCTCCTGTTCTGGGGCCACAGCACCGTTTACCTCTTCCTCTTCACCTCTGTGTGGCTCTTCTTAAGCAAACTGTCTTTTCCTCCTGCTTGTCCACCAATCCTTCCCTTGGGGGCAGTGACCACGTCTACCTTGCCCACCATTGCCAGGAATTAGCACATACTTGACACATAGTAGGTGCTCAGTTCTTTGAATGAATAAATGAATGACTCAACTTTGGACTTCTTGCTAGTAGTACTTGAAGCAGTGCCAAGTGTTCAGTATCTGCTGTTCTGCTTACTTGATAGATGACCTTGGGACTGGGTGTATGACCTCTCTGAGACTTTGTTTACTCACTCATAGCAAAAGTTATTGACATGCATTTGGAAGACTATTGGAGAGTTAACAGTGGGTGTCTGTATGGGAATATGCCTGGCTTCTAGGAGTTACTCCATAAAGCTTGCAAATCTGAGTGCTAAGTCAAAGGCCTTGGTATAAACCATTACTCAGAAAGCTCATGTCTTGGGTCAAGACACAAGGGGTAAGACATAGTTTTTCAAGACAGGCTCTGGATTTGACTCCTAGCTCTGCCACTCACTAACTGGGCAACCTTATGCCAGATATTTAAACCCTTATGTGACTCAGTTTCCTCATCTTTAAGATGGCAATAGTGAGGGTACCCTTCTCCTAGGACCATTGTGGGATTCAACTTAGGTCAGTGCCCCATGCCTTGGTCAGTGCCTCACTGCAGATGCCCAATAAATGTTAGCTGGTGTCATTGTCATTACAAGGTAGCCCTGACAACCACGTCATTTGCTCTTATCCATGGTCCTCTCTAATAGATTAAGAGACAAGTTTCTGGAGAGGTTCAAGGTCAAACAATGAGGAAATGGCAGCTTTGTGCTTCAAGGCCAGGTTTGCTGTGCCCAAATCCCATGTTATTTCCACTCCATCAAAGAAGTAGCTCAAAATAGGCATGTGGCATTTCAGCTAATTTCCTCTAAGCCTTTCCCAAGTAACAAGCCGCAGCCACACAAAGCCTCTCCCCTAAGAGCATCCACACTGCAGCCACAAAGTACATGCACCTGGTGGGTCCCAAGCATCCAGTGGGGCTTGGGCCAAGCCAGCTCTTTCCAGGTAGCCCTGCCTGGTCTGCAGAAGGGACCTATGGAGTCAAGCTACCTAGGAAGAGGGAAGGGAGTGGCACAAGGGTTCCACAGAAGAAGAGACTGGAGACCACTCTCACTGTAAAAGGAGAGAAGAAACAAGAGGAATCCCACCCTTGTTGAGTGCCCCCTATATGCCAGGTCCTTCACCTATCTCATACCATGTAATCCTCACTGTAATCACGAAACCTTTAACAAGCATCTACTAAGGAGCCAGCCCTGTATTAGGTTTCAAAGACATAATGGTGAGCAAGACCTAGCTGTTGACCTCAGAGGGCTTCCAAGGCAATGAGGGAGAGAACACATGCACACCCAAGTTCAATAACTGGCGACAGAGGTTGGGATATGGGACCAGAGAGTTAAAAGCAGGGAATAGTGGAGAAGTCTCAGAAAGGAGTGGGCAGGTACTAAAGGGCCCATTTTACATCTGGTGAAACTGAGGCTCTGAGTGACCAACTGGGTTGGAGTCCTGCAATTCCCAAGTAACAGAGTGAAGCTGAGCCCCCAGGCCTGTTCCGTACCCAGAAATCTCCTCTTTCTCCCTACTGGTGGCAAAGGAGCTGTAACCTTCCTTCTCTACCCCCTGTCCTTTTCTCAATGGTGATCTGGCTAGAGATTAATCAAATGGTGCTAAAGCTGCAGCAGCCATCCGTGCCTCAGAGGTTTGCAGCTTCTGTGAACAAACAGAGGCTTCTGAGCTTCTGCTACTGGTTATTCTGGAGCAAAATGTTCAGCCGTTGGTCTGAAAGGGGAAGGGGTGAGAAAAAGGCCTCTGTCTCCAGTCTGGAGGGACTTCCTGGCCAGGTCAACCAAGGTGACAGGCATCAATGAGGTCAAGCCCCTCCAGTGCATGTAGTGACACCCAGCAGCTCCCCCCCCCCAAAGCTGAGATGACTTCAGAGGCCTTGGTGCTGGCCCCTCATTGCTTCCTCTAGAACAGCAGCCAAGGAAATCACCCCCACCCCCAGCCCCGCCACTGAACTGCCAGCTCCCCTCCCGAGTCAGGTCAGTACACCAGCCACTCCCCGTCCCAATTCCATCCTCAGGGACAAGAAACCAAAGCAGAGAAATTGTCAGTCCTCAAACACAGCCCTTGCCATACATTATGGCACCTTAGCAGACACTGTAGAGATCCTGGTTCTGCTCCCCAGCCACCAGGACCCTCTCCCAGGACCAGAAACCTAGCAATCTCCCTTTGAGGGAGTCCTTCCTTCTAACAAAGGAGCAGAGTGAAAGGAAGCAAACTTCTGTGCAGGGTGGAGAAACAGGTAGTTTTTCTATGACTTAAGGGATACACTGGCTCTACCTGCAGCCTACTCTTTCCTGAACCGAGAGGAAGAAGTTAGGCAAGGAGCTTTGCACCAAAGCAACTTTTTAGTTCAGTCATCTGCATATTTTTTGATAATCATTAGATCACTGAGAAATTATCAATCAAATTATCTGAAAAAGTATGGAATAATTGAGTTAGGAGATTGAAACATTTCTAACCACCCCCAACGGATCCATCAGACTCACAATTTTCTCCAGGCTCCCCATTATAGAATTGTCCCCACATTATGCCTCGTCTACTCTGCTTAACTATGAAACTGATCAGAGAAAAGAATGTAATCAGTAGCAGCAGCAATCAATATGCTTCTTTTTTTTCCAGAGTCTCAATAAGGAAAAGGTGCACACAGAGAAGCAAGCAGTGATGCCATAATTATCTCAGGATAACAGTGCTGCTGAGCGAGCAGGAGGGGGCTCGTGTGCTTTGGTGTTCACAGAAGGGAGATTTTTTTCCATCTCTGCCAGTCCCATTTATGAATGACAGAGGAAACTTGGAAGGATTCACATTTCACCCACTTCCCCTGCAAATATGTTTACCCTTGAGATGAAAAATCATGACCCAAGCCCCAGTTACTCGTCACCTTTTCCTTTCCCATGAATAATCTTTCCAAAATGTCTGCTTGTAGAAGCAAGATTTGGAATTTCACGGGAAACTACAGAGACAGACAGTGCGGTGCACACTCCCTGTGAGCCCGAGAGAGACAAAGAGACAGAGAGAGATGCAACCAAAAAGGAGATGCGTCTACTGAGCCAAGAAGATAAAACAAATCCCCCGAAAAGCAAAGTGGAACACACACAGACACGCGCGCGTGCACACACACACACACACACACACACACAGACACACACGGTTTGTAATTACCCATCCAGGTTCCATCTCCACCACTTCCTGGCAGAGAAACGGCTGGTTGAAGTTTTGTGCCAGTCTGATTGTGATGGGAGGGTTGTATTTGAAGCTCTGGGCACGTAGAGATGCAATGAGAAGGAGGCTGAGCTGGAAGAAACACCAAGGGGGGGAGGGAAGGAGAGAGAGAGAAAGAGAGAGAGAGAGAGAGAGAGAGAGAGAGAGAGAGAGAGCGCTAGCGATCTGTAGCTACGCCTTCCTCTAAGCTCCCAGAGCCCAGGGAGAGCGCTCATTTTAGGACTGGGGAGAGGAGTAAGAGGAAGCCAGGCGGCCCCGCTCTGCCCGGCCCGGCTCGGCTGCCCCGGGGGAGGAGGACTCCGGCCCGCGCGCCCCTCCGAGCCAGCCGCGCTGTGCGGCCAGCCGCGGAGCGCGCAGAGCGGGCGCGCGGGGAGCTGTCCACTTCAGCACCACCGGTAATGCAGTAGGTGGGAGCGCTCCGCCGGGGGCGAGTCGGCCGCGAGGGGGGGGCGGGCGGCCCATCCTGCAGCAAGACGCCGGCTCCCTCGACTCCAGGAGCTTTGCGGATAGGGGGAGGGAAAAGCGCCTCGATTCTCCGGGAGAAACCCCCTCCCTCCCCCACTTCGCCAACACTACCCCCGTCACCAACAATAAACGCCGCCGCTGCTAGTCCAGCTGCCGCCGCCGCCGCCGCTCCTGCCCGCCCTGCAGAGCCATGGAAGGCGAGACCCCCGCAGCCGTGCAGCCGAGACCGAGGGCTTACAGAATACTGGGAAGTCTGGTCTGAAACGAAAGCGCCCGAGACCCCCCCCAAGGAAGAGAACTGGCGAAGCCAAGGATTTTCATGGCGCAGGCCGCAGAGCCGAGAACGAAGACGGGAGGGTGCATTTCGGCTCTTACAATCTCTAACTGTCTAGGTCCCGACCATGAGAGATGGTGTTGAGAATTCGGCTGTTCCCTGGTTCACTGTGGAAGCCATCTCCAAATTAACGATCACCTATGGAAACTGGAGACCAGAATTTTAGGAAAAGAGATTAAAGCATCTCACTTGGGGGGTGGGGGTGTCTTTTTATTTCCCCCTCCCCCCTTTTTTTAAACTCACTGCAACCGGAACAGTTTCTGATCCCAAAAGGCAAGCTTCTCTTCCCGTGTGATCTTTATAATTTACACTCTTTTCCGTGAGCTTTCTTACCTCCCTTTTTTAAAATATCTCTCCATATCCTCTATTCACATATATATCCATTATATTAGTAGTGGAATTATATTTTAATTTTTTTTTTTTTTTTTGGCTTTAGTACTCGCACCCTCAAACACACCCTTCCGAGAACCAGAAGTCGGTTGGGTGTTTATATAATGAAGAATTATGGGGCTGTTTGATCGAGGTGTTCAAATGCTTTTAACCACCGTTGGTGCTTTCGCTGCCTTCAGCCTGATGACCATAGCTGTGGGAACCGACTATTGGCTCTACTCCAGAGGGGTCTGCAAGACGAAAAGTGTCAGTGAGAACGAAACCAGCAAAAAGAATGAGGAAGTTATGACCCATTCTGGATTATGGAGAACGTGCTGCCTTGAAGGTATTTGATTTCCCACCCCCTCCACCTGGCCCCTCCCCTCCTCACTCCCCCTCCCCACCCTCCTCCAAATAAGTCCCCTTTACATTCCACCATTTTCTTACTTCACTCCCTCCACCAGATCAAGGTTGGTTGGGTTAGTTTCAGAGGAAAGAAAATCAATAAGCAAAAGCCATACTCCACTCTCTGGCCTCCACCACCCCCTCCCTCCCCCAGACCTCTTCATTGGAATCATCTATGATCTGATGTGAACTGCAAGAGAATGTCTTTAAAGTCAAATGGGCTCTGCCTGCTTCGGAATCATTAGGATTTGCCTTTGGATTTAGCATTGCCATCTATGAGGAGAGAAAATAATTGCCTCCCTCAATGCTGCTCATCTTTTCCCAGGGAAGAATTCAAAAATGTTCTTCCTTTTCCTCTCCTCTTCCCCTGACTCCCCCAAAAGTCCCAGACACATCATCATCTGCAGCAAACCTTCTTTCTTAAAAGAAAAAAAAATGTTGTTTCTAAGAATCCTTATTTGGTAAATCCTAATTATTCCAGGATCTCAAGCCGAGTTCAAGAGCATTTCGTAATGTCTATGAGCCACACATCTCGTTCTAGGCAGCTGGCTGCATGTGTGTATGTGTGTTTTAATGTTTACAAAGTCTAAAAATACATACGTCTCTCGAAGGAAACAAGCCCAAGTTCTAATAAACAGCAATTCACTTGTGGGTTAGGCTGAGAACCAGTTCACTTCCACACAGAGTGACATGTCTGTTATCCAGGAGCAAGTCAAGTCAGCATTGTACAGGCAGGCAGGGAGAAGGGGGGTGAGGGCGTGGGGAGGTTGAGGGGGGAGTGGGGGAGCAGTGGGGCAGGGTGTCAGCCATTGGCCTTGAGCTTGCAGGGTCTTTGAGGTTTGTGTGCTTGTGCTACGGGCCAAGGGGCCCCCACGGTGTAAAGGCTACGAGACCAGGGCATGGATGAAGGCATGTGGTTTTGGGACACATTAATAAGCACAGAGGAAGAGGGGAAAAAACTCTGCAGGTCATACAACCTGCATTTAGCAGCAGACTTTAATATGCATTTGCATAGCTCTGTGTGTGTACGAGCCACCCCTAGGCAGACAGGCACAGAGAAATACATATGTTTCTGTGTGGAAAGAAAAGCTTATGTGCCTTCCTTCTGATGCTGCGAACTAAGACTGGAGGCCCTTTGAGGCAGTGTCGGGAAGCGGGCACTGCAGGATTGTTTGTTAGGCTCAACATGAGAGGGATGCAGGGAGTTGAGGCCAGGAGACAGGGAGAAGAGAGAGAAAGATGTCAGACGAAGAGACTGATGTGGCCCGAGGGTCTAACCTGAAGTGAGCCAAGCTGCTCTTTGGGAAATGGTTACTTTTGGGAAAAAGCATAAATTCTCTGTCCCCCTCCCAATATTCTTGGTGCAAGCAGTTGAGTGATGGCTGAACATGTTTTGAATAGCTAAGTGACTTCATTGAGCAATGGTCTATTTGACGCATACTGCATTTGGTGCCCTTTCTCAATCCAAGCCGCTGCCTTTAACATATTCTGCAGAGCAGCTCTATGCTGAATACTACATGCTCCTCCCCAGCCAGAGAGTCAATATGACGAAATTAATAGGGACCGTTTTCAGCACATGCATACACACCCCTCCTTTAAAAAATGAAAAGCCTTTTATACCACTGGTCATTAGCAGTGGAAAGACTATCTCCATTTAATTAAACATTTATGACAGGCTTTTATTCCAAAAGAGAAAGAAAGTGAAGTGAATGAGGGTTGCTTTAGGGAAATGATCCCATGGTGTTTTGCCTTCCTTGGACTTTAGTTAGATGGATGGAGATGTATAGCAGCCAAGAGATTACAGGAAAGACAAGACATTATTTTAGGGGAAATATAATCAGATATTGGTGAGCTGGCATAAATACTCTTCTTGTATCAGGGTTTTATTTACAAATCCTTAATACTGTGATCTTTTAAACATCTCATAATTCCCAAAAGACAAGTGGACTAGAGGTGGATTTGGATCACTTGTGCATTAAAAGGTTTAAGAATTTTTATTAAAATCTCATCTGTGTGGTACACTGCCCGCCCCCTCTAACTCTCTCTCCAAGCCGCGCACCCTGTCCCTCTGCTCATCTGTAAAGGGTTAGGATCAAAACCCTTCCCAATGGCTCTGTGGTGCATGCAGGAGCTGAGGGTTGGCACTCTCCCTAGTGGCCTCCTTGGGTGCCCAGTCCTGGGGCACTTGCCTTCAAGTGGAGAGGGGGAGGGCTGGCCAGGCTCTCTTCTGGGTTGATTCTCTCTTTCTACATGTAGCCAAGGCCCGAGCAGAAAGGGCTGGTGCTCAGGGCCCCAGTTCAAGCTGGCCTTCAGTTTCCAAAGTCTCTGTTCATATGGGGCTTAGCAGGCCTCAGGGCCATCATAGGAAGCTGGGCCTTGGCCACTTAAGAAGTGGTTTGGAGATTTTAAACTGGCTATTTTCAGGCTGTGCTAATTTCCCAAGGTTGTAAGTTCGCTTATTTCTGGAAGTTGGCATAGCCAGATCTCGGGCGGGGCGGGGGAGGGCGGGCAGTGGTATGCTTGCCTTTCTGGCCATTCAGAATCAGCCTTTATGAACATCAAGTTGCCAGTGTTTTAGGCCCTCTGGTCCGTGTTTTTTGATGAGAAATTGGATTTTCCAAAAAGATTTCTCTGTCATCTCTTTAATTGAATTTTCTGCATATACCCAAGAAGTTGTGAACAGATTTCAAATCTTCCCTCAGAGAAGCTGCTAATGACTTCAGATGAAAAACAAGCCATCTTTCCCTGATCTTTTCTGCCCTCTGGTTTTCATTAGGGCTTTCTGTCTCCTGAGATGATTATTTTTGTTCACCTCTTGATGAAAATAAGAATTGGGAAATAATTCTTTGCCTCTGTTGCTGCTTTTGGAATTAATTAGTGTGCTGAAGGATGAGAAGGGACATGGCCACCTGTTAGGGGCAGACACAGAGGCAGGAAGACAGAGATGGAGAAATAAAACCCAGCTTTCATTTTTCTCTCTGCAGAGCAGATACCTGAAAAGTCCCTGTGTGCAAACTTGAACTCCCTGCCAGGCTACTGTCCATAGTGGGCTTGGAGAAGTGGGGTTGGGAACAGAACGTCTGTGGACACAGGTGGGTGCAGAGTGAGAGGAGGAATTCTTGAACTTTTCAAGAAAGTAGCATCGGGAGTCTCTGAATGGAGATGAATTGGCCTTTTCAGGGAAGAGCTCAATAAAATCTACAACAGGACACTGAAACAGCTTGTTCCAAGGGAGGCTTCTCCGGGCTGCTGGTGCCTTGCTGCTGGTGCCTTGCTGCTGGTGCCTTGCTGCTCCGAGTATTAACCTCTGTTGTCACCTGAAGGAAACAGTGTATCCAAGGGGAGCCAGAAATTCTCTGTGTGTTGATTCTCTCTAATGCTTTCCTCCCCTCTGACCTGTACCCGGTCCAAGTGTTCACCCAAAGGATTTTCAGCCCTGCAGAGGAGGAGCCCGAAGCTGCTACAAAGTGTCTGAAGCAGAGGCAAACCCACCAGCATCCCTCTTTTCTCTCTCCCCTTTTGCATTACTTTCTGTCTACACAGGCTGATGAATCCCCTCTGCTGAATTTTCTAGCTCCTGCTGTATTGTTGGCTTCTCTCGTCTTCCCCCTCTGCGGGCTGATCGTTCATGGCCGCTCTGCCAGCCATGGCTACATCCTTGGTCTCTTTGATCAAGAGGAGTCCCAGTTGGCCCGAATTGTCTTTTCCACGTTCACAGCTCCTCTGGCCTGGGAGGTGTGGGGTGTCACAGGCCCTGCTCAGCCATGGCTCTCTTTCGAGTTTAGGAAATCAGCGCCTTTCCCGGGCACTCTCGCCTTTGAGTGTGGTGGGCTGATGTGCAGGACACCACAGGGCCAACTCACTGTGTACACACCGCTCTGAGTCCCAAGGTAATCTGACTTTCTCTAAAAGCTTTGCACCCAGTAGGTAGATAGGAAATATTTATCAATGGATTAATTCGGGGCATTTTTAAATTACTGAAGCAAATGTAAATGTCGCAAAGATGTGTCACAATCGAGTGAGAGAGAGAAATGAAAACGACTTGTTTATTCATCCTGAAACTTCCTTTTAGAAAAAAAAATAATGAGTCAGGACTCTATGGTAAAGGGATTCCAAAGGAGTCAGTCTGCACAGCTCCTGATTGGCCAAAGCGAAAGCAAATTATTCAAGGAAAAGTAAAGGAAAATGGTCAGCATGCCCAGCCTCTACAGAGAAGGAAAAATAATCAGTTGGTTTTCTCCCCTTTTCTGCTTTTAAAATGTACTAAAGTTCAGTTTCATTGCTCACCAGAATAGACACATCTGAGCAGAGAGTGGGCATTATAATGGCCATCCTTACGTAGCTTCTCCAGAGCCTTCTGTTCTTCAGCAGTCTCACATCCAAATCACAGGATGCTGAAAACCTTCCTTCTAGCTCTTGGGTTCTAATCAGCGGTTGTCCACAGAGCCGGACCCTGAGTCCCTCGCCTCTCTCACCTGCGCTCTTCACCTGCAGGCCCCAGCTGTTCACACCACACTCTCAGCTCCTGCTTGGGGTTTCTAAGCTAGAGGAGGAGGCACTCAGGAGTAAGTGGCCCACTTAGGTCACAGGAGTGGAAAGCAGTGGAGCCAGAACTCATATCCAGGCCTCCAGTGACCCCTGCAGCTGGATTTCCCTGCCCCACACACCCTAGAAACCTCCAGAGGGCTCTGCAGCCCACATGCCATGAGCACGGATCCTCTTCTGTCTGGATCTGTGGAGATCCACTCCGAGCTCTCGGCCTCAGCAGTCAGGAATCGGGGCTCTGCACCTCAGCTGCCATCTCCAGCCTCCCTGGGCCCTCCAGGGTGACTCGACTCTGCCCTTAGACCCCTCTCCTTTGAGCTGAGGAGCAGCACCCGCTTTCTAACACTCATCTGCAGCCCTAACCTACCGCGTGCTCTTCCTTTTTGCCCTTTTATT